CGACGACCTTGAAAAATATTAAATGTGCTAGTCATTTGACTGTCATTTAGTGGCAAAAACCGCAAAATGAATTCTTTCATTTCACTAAATTCATAAAAACCATCATTAATAGTAAAAAAATTCTCAGACGTGGGACCACCTGACTTAGCAATAGCAGATGCAGTGTAAATCTTTATATCATCGAAAGCCATGCCTGTCCCTGATAATATAAGACACAAATTATTTGTACCAAGATCAAGTACTGTACGAAGTAAGATACTAAAAAATGGTCGTAGCGGACGATCAGCTAGTGTTGTGGTAAACGTGTACTCAAACTTTTTGATAGCTGCTTATGATTCATCGATCGCAATTGGTAAATGTTCTTGTGTATGGATCAGATTTTTAAATTTTTCGGTAAAATCAGTAATAAGTATATTCTGATCTTCTTCCTTTAAGTTACGAAAAATATATGAAATGGAAATCCAAAATTGATTTGTGCATGGCAAGAGTTGCATTAAAAGCCATTGCTTTGGTGTAAAGTTACTATGAATTTCCAGAAGTTTGTTCAAAATAAATAGTCGACCAAGGATCATAGCACGAGTAAAACGAAGTGCTACCCGAGTATTCTTTTCATGATTTATGGTTAAATAATTTTCTAATTCATTAATAGCAATGTCCAAATCTTTCGATCCCAAATTCATTTTGAGCCCATTTTCAGCGTTTATTGTGAAATAAATCCCATATATCTGGCAAAATAACTCAAATAAAGAACGAGTTTTTCCAGACCTAAAATAAAAAAATTTTTTTAATAATATATTTTCTGAATCAAATATAGCATAAGAATATCTATTTTTATCAATTTTATTTTTGGAACTCTTATACTATACAGTCAGACCTCTCTAAATGCAATGCGACGGGACCATATATCAAATGTGCACTTAGAGAGGTATTGCATTTAGAGAGGTAAAATCTATTGATGTAATATTATTTGAGAACAAGAGAAGCCGTGCATTTAGGAAGGTGTTTCATAGGACGTGCACTTAGGGAGGTAGCATTTAGAGGGGTCTGACTGTATATGATCTCATTTGTTTTGCAAGCATTCCGTTCTTAAGCTTATAATTATTCCTATTCTTACCCTGAGGTACCAATTAGAAAGAACCAGCTATTATTCATGACTTTATTGCGTAGTTCAAGAAGTTTTTCCTTCTGGACATAGCCTTCAATGATAAGCTGGTCATTATCGAAATCTGGCAATGAATGCAAAATGAACATAGACTTTTTTTTAATGGTAGGTATTTTTGCTATGTTAATGTTTTCAGCAAATATGTGGTTTGTAAATGTGAAGTTTTCCAATTCTAACTTGGTCAGATCATTTTTAGATTTAGACCAACATTCATTCGCTTTCTCCAATACTTCAGTTACTATAATAACAAAAATTTAGCAATTTCAAATAAATGCAGCATTTACTTAAGAGTCAAACTTTACAACTTACTTACCATCAGCAATAGGCAATTCTACGACAACTTAAATACATTAAGGAAGTATTTATTACATAAAGCAAAAAAAGAACAAGTGTTAAATAAATATAATAATGCGCAAAACTAAAATTATA